TTTTAGAGAGCTCTGAACCCTACAGGAGTCTATCGAGCTCTTTGAAGAGACTCCTAGGTGCGTGGGTGTTTGTGGCACACTTTTTCAGCCTGGGATTTAAGGCTTGCGAGCCAAGATGTGTTGTGCTTGTGGGGTGCAGGGATTCGGGTTTTTGCGGCTTAGGGTTTCACGGTTTACCTGGGCCCTCCAATGTAGTTCCTTTTGGGGTTTGTTATGGTTTTGGGTTAGGACTCTTATTAGGATTACCAAAACGGTACTACATTGCAGGGTTTAGGTACTGTTTACTGTTCAGGTTGGCAATTTTGGGCAGTTTTTGGTCGGCAGGATCTGGGGCTCGGCTTCCAAGGCTGCAGGCGCCAGGACTCGTAGGCTTCTGGATTTCAGGCCTGGGGCCCAGAATTATGGGAGTCAAGGGCTTGTGATTTGAATTTATAGGGCTCTGGGATTGGGACCCTACATTGTAAGCCCTAAGCCCTGAGCCTCAAAACCCTAAACCCCTAATTGGGTATAGATGACTGCATGGTCAGACCCTAAACCCTACACCTGCAAGCGGTGCGGGTGAGGACTGTTCGTGACGTCGAGTCATAGACATTGCAGTCTCCAGAACTCGAACGCACGCACCTGCCGTAACCCTAAACCATAAACCCCTTTAGTCAGCCTTCACCACCAGGCGTATTCCTAAGCCCTAAACGCTTGAATTCAGCCTTAAACCCAAACCCTAAACTCCAGCCGCACCCCAAGCATGACTCTCTAAAGCCTAAACCCGAATCCTATCGCTGAACCTTCATCAGAGTAACCCCCCAAAAAGAATCAGGACGTTATGACTATCGTATAAATCTCACTTGGTTCACAGTATATGGGGCTGGGGCTGCCAAAGCCCTCTAACGACCTCAGCCCTAAACCCTACATATCCCTATAATTCTCCCCTTCCGACTTAATGTTCCATCTTTTCCTTTTGACTATCTAGCCTCCCAAGCCCTAAACCCTGCTCCCAAATCCCCAAACCCTAATCACAACCCCAAATCCTAAACCCTACCCTAAACACATTTGGGTGGTTCCCAAAATTAGGGGTACCATTTTGGGGGTCCCTATAATAAGGATTATAGTATGTTGGGGTCTATATTAGGGTCCCCCTATTTTTGGAAACTATCATTTTGGTTGGTGGAAACCCTAACGCTTCAATATCCATTTTATCAAGGAGGGAGAGGCGGCCTGTGATCCTCACGGATGTGGCTCCGGAAAATACATGGAGTCCCGAGGTGCGGAAGGTTGATGAATGGGTTTTAGGGTTTAGGGGTTTAGGAGATTAGGGATTAGGGTTTAAGGGTTTTAGGGTTTTAGGGTTTTAGGGTTTAGCGTTTGGGGTGTTAGGGATTAGTTTTTAGGGTTTTAGGGTTTAGCGTTTGGGGTGTTAGGGATTAGGTTTTCGGGTTTTAGGGTTTAGCGTTTCGGGTTTTAGGGATCAGGTTTTAGGGTTTTAGGAGTTAGCGTTTGGGGTGCTAGGGATTAGGGTTTGAGGGTTTTAGGGTTTAGCGTTTGGGGTTTGAGGGCCTCGGGTTTAAGGACTAGGGTTTCAGGGTTTCAGGGATAAGCCGTTAGGGTTTAGGGATAAGGGTTTTAGGGTATTGGGTTTAGGGTTTTCCAAGATGGTAATACTATCACCATAAGTAATTAGTCGTGTTTTCCTTGTTATTGCTATTATGTATGTTTTTGGCTTATTCATTTTTATGAAAGATGTGTTTTTTCTATAGCAATTGTTGTTTGTATGTTGGCTTTCCAGACCAGGGTTTGGGGTTTTGGGTTTTAGGGCTCAGGTTTTAGGGTCAAGAGGTTCTCCAAACTAGTAGCATTATGTTCATCGTGATAGCAGCATGTGCCTAATGCTAAGAAACTAAATCTCATTGGGTTTTGATTGCCATTTACCATCAGAATCCTTGCATTCTAAGCGTTAGAAGTTATGTATAAGCCCCTACACCCTAAACCGTAAACGCTAGACCCTAAACCGCGTCTATACGTTGGTTGTCAGAGTTTTGGGGTGAGCTTTTCCGGCCTTTTCTGGGTTGCTGTTAAAGAACTTAATGCTAAGATATTGAGGAAGCCCCCTGATTTTTTTAAAATATATTTGCCCGTTATGGCAAGTTAACTTAAGTTCCGTGACTGCAACTCAGTTTTTGCGGTGGGCTGGCATGTTAAGAATCCCGTTTCGAGATCATAAGCTCACAAAAAGAAACCGTTCTGCAGGATCGCCTGCTAGGGGGTCTTTATGTTCCTTGAACCTACCTCAACCCCATGTTGAAGTAGGGCTTTTATTGCAGTCCTTGGTGAGTTCCCTAGGAGTATTGCTGAGTGTATACATATAGATATATATATATATACATTCGGTGTCCAGTTTGGGCGACCTTAAAAAATACCATGCATCAATATGGGCCCTTTGAAATGGAAAGTGGTCTTCAAAGAGCAGTTTTGGAATGCCGTGCCAGGTTGGAGGAGCGTAGCGTTCATGAGCACAGATCGTCCAAAACCCTAGCCCGACATAATCCCGCAATCTCTAGAATATAGGGCATATAAGGTGGTGCCAGATTTCCTCCATCCGCGGTAGATTCGGATCTTGAAATGCTTGGTTGAGGGCTTCGAGGTTCTAATCCCCAAGCCTCAAAACTCTAAGCCTCTAGACCCTAAACCCTAGACCCTAAACCCTAAACCCTAGACCCTAAACTCTAAAGACTCCAGGATTTCAGAAGCATCAACCCCTCCACCATCACCCTCAGCCCCAAGACCCTGAACCCCAGACTCCCTACAACCAAAAAACGCACGCTCTCAGTTCAACCTTCCCAACACGTCTCATCCCAAACCTCGCAACCTACACCCTCAACCCTATAACCACAGCCAAACGATAGCCCCACATACCTCAATATCACCCTTATTTATCCTTAGATACCCCATAGGACCTTTATCTATATATACATACATATATATATATATGCCCCTTTCTCTCAAGGCTTTTCGTTCGCGCTGCGGGTCACTCCCGGTGACTTTCCACCGGTGACTGGCCTGCCTCACTCAGGGTTTGGGCTGTATCAGGTCTAGGCTTGCCGTTCGTATTTAGTGTTTAGGGTTTAACCGCTTACGGTTTAGGGGTTTGGGGACTCAGTGGTTTGGGTCCAGGGTTTCAGGGTTTGGGCTCAGGGAGGGTTAGATGCTTGGAGTCTCCACCTTGTGAAGGTTTTCAGTCATGGGGATTGTCTACGGGGAGCATCCGGGGCATGCGTGGGGAAGTTGTGTACCCTAAACCCTAAACCTTAAACCCTAAACCCCGATCTTGCAACTTCCTGGGTTCGCCTGGGAGTCTAGTCTTTCTGGAGCGTAGGATGTAGGCTTCAGGATTCAGGGTTTTGGACTTCCCCAAAAACTTACTGACATGATTTGTAAGGCTGAGTGACACCAGAAGGGAGATCTTCTGAAGACCGGGGAATCAGCGCTGAAACCTTATGCAGGACATTGAGTTTGGTGTTTCACGTCTAGGGTCTTCGCAGTTCACAACTAAAAGACACTATCACCCAAAAAGCTCAAACACTGGGATTGAAATCCCCGAAACGGCGGCCACAAACCTGCCGTCTTACACACGCAGGTTCGAAAGCCCCTAGAAAACCCTAAGCCCTAAATCCCTAAATCCCTAAACCCTATGATACTAAATCAGTTTCCATTATCTTTTCCATTATCCCATTACCCCCATCTAACCTAGGAAACTTCCGTCGAAGGAGATACTCTGCTGGTCTGCGGGCTATACCTGAATGGCTCCGAAAAACGTTTCTGGATCCGCGGTTGGTTGAAGCTTGGCTGCCCGTTTGGACGCCTAAAAGCCCTAGGGTTTAGGGTTTATAAACTCTATAAACCCTATAAACCTCAAGCTGCGCAGCTCAGCGTTCCACAAGTTGTCATGAAACGCACCGTCTAGGGTTTAGGCTTAGGCTTAAGGGCGGTTTAAGGGTTCACCCCATCCGGAATAATTAATACTCGCCGATTTGGCTTTCTAGGGCCTAAGTAGGGCTCATTAAAGGGGAACCTTGCACGGGAGAGTATCCGGCGGTTGGGTAGGGAACCCATGACAGCATGGGCTCTGGGAAGACCACTGTCCGTTTCAATTGCATTTTGTGTGACTCAATGTGCGTTTGTGGATGGGTAAGGTTTTAATTTTTCGGGCCGTTCAGGGCTTGGGGGTTTAGAGTTTGACGGTGAAGATGATGAGAATTGAGTTCGTGTCCCTAAACCCTAAACTCAAGGCTTAGGCCGCCCCACCTACTGTGGGTTGCCCTCTATGGCGAAAGGCCTCTACCTAGCCGTACCGCAGCACAGCCACGATAGCGGCAGCCCAAAACCTCAAAACGCATCCTGGATTGCTAGAGCTCCTGCGCAGATCCAAGTGTTTTCTCCACTTCCGCATGCTGAGTGGGGAGTACTGTCGATGGGGATACGATGGGCATCAACAAGATTATGTCCTCCTCTTGGGTTTGGTAGTTATTTAGGCTACATTCTTGACCCCAAACCTTAATAAGGCTTCCGGCCCTGAGCCACTCATACCAAAACCCCTGAATTAGCACCCTAGTATAGTGAGTCGTGTGATAATCATAGGGTCCTTGTTTTGATGATTAGGTTAGCAAAACCTGCTTACCATTCCTATACAAGGGACATAGGCCTCAAAAAACCATATTGCAGAAGGAATTCTAGGTCCTGGCTCCCTCATAGTTGTATATGTGGATCCTTTAGGGACCCTTCCAACTGGTGGAATATTTTGTTGTTTGCCAGGGATCTACTGGGGTTGTGGTTCCGGCGGGTCAATCTGAAATGGCAGGCATCCCCCTTGCAGCTTTGAGTGCTACACGTGGACCAAACCCAAAACCCTAACACCCAGACTGCAAAGCGCTACAACCGTTCCGAGGAAGACCAAGCCCTTGCAGTACCGGGTATGTCAAATGTTGGGTAGTTGCTGTGTGGCAAACCAGGATGCTTACAACCAGACCACCGATGGCGTGCTGAAGGCAAACGCGCAAACTCCGGCCTCATATACCCCAAACCCTAAAAGGTAGTTTCCCCAAATGGGGTAGCTTCCACCCAAAGGTTACAAGTTGAAATCTGGAGGTTTTGCTGGGACATCTTTGATTATCTAGTGCACTGGAACCCAATAAAGAGGATGACGTTGCATTTGTTGGATCCACTCTCGGTAAGGAACTAGTGTAGGGCTCATAGTTTTAGGACTTTGAAGCTGGAATGGTTGGTTAGGTTCCTGGACCCGTGAAGTCTTAAGGGTTTAGGATTTTCTGAGCCCTGTTCCTTTCATTCTGGGTTTAGGATTTAGGGGCTTAGGGTTTAGGGTTAAGGGGTTTAGGGTCTAGGATACCCTAAGCCCGTGAACTCAACAAAGGGTCCTTGTTGATCATTGCCTTGAGCTTCTGTTATACAAAATTCTCACAAGCTAGTTTCCCAAAATAAGGGACCTCAATATGGACCCCAAAGTATTATACTCCTCAAGGACACCCCAAGAAAGGCTCCCCTAATTTTGGGAATCCGCTCACAAAGAATATGAAGCTACAATCTGAAAGCGAAGCCAAGGCCACAGCCTATACTACTGAACCTGAAGCCCAAACTGAGCATTTGAAATTGGGATGCTCAGTATAAGGTAAGATGATACCTTCCCTTTGATCGTAGTTTCACAAGGAACCTACCCTTACTCGGTTCAGCCGCCAAAACAACACTACCCTAAACCCCAAGCCCCAAAACCGCTAAACCTAAACCCTAAATCCTAAGCCCTAAGCCCCTAAACCCCCGAAACCCTGAATCCTAAACCCTAAACCCCTAAACCTTAAATCCCTAAACCCTCAACCCCTAAACCCTACACCCCTAAACCCCCTAAACCCTGTAACATAGGCGATGCACCAGATGAGAAGTCTCGAAGAGTCTTGGCGTCGGTTCTCAGGGTTCAGGGTTTAAGGTTTAGGGGTTAGGGTTTAGGATTGAGGGTTTCAGGTTTAGGGTTTAGGATTTAGGGTTTAAGTTTGGAGTTCAGGATTTTGGGTTTAGGGTTCCGTTTTCGGGGTGCAGGGTTCAGGTTCCAGGGTTAGGGTGTAGGGTTAGCGTGTTTGCCTCCGGGGTGTCTTTGGGGCTGAAGATCTCATGGTGGATTTCAGTTGAAATTTGGGGGTATTCGGACATACCAACCCTAAACCCTAAACCGCCAGAGTTTGCTTGAAGCTTAGACTAAGGTCTACCGATGCTTGCCAAAGTTTCTCAGGGCATCAGCTTGGACAGATGCAGAAGTGTGCCGTTTTGAGGGAGTCGTGCTTCGGAACACCCCATGTCTTGGACCCTAAGCGTTATCTCCTCCCACCAGATGAATGAAGACCCCCTACCCCCCCTAATGTTCAATGTGCCCAGAATGTTCCCATGGTGGCTTATTATCATCTATAGACATGTTCAAATACTAGGGAGGTGAGGAAGTTTTAGTATTAGGTTGAGTGGATTATGTTGTCAGGCCTCGGAGCTTTTGGAAGCTGCCTGTCCAGTTTGTCTAGTGGCTACTGCTTAGACAAAGTCCAATGGCTTTTTACGGGGCAGCCGTTACACTGCAACATCTTTCCATCTTTGCAGCATGGGTCAGTCTACTACATGTACGGCTTGCCAACTGGATATGCCACTGTTTAGGTCACATCAATAAATCCATAAGGATCAAACCGAACAGGATGTCTTTTTGACGGCCACTGGTGCCAGCGGCGAGGTTGTAAGTACGACAGCTGCATTGATTCCCAGAATAGGGTATGTCTCGCCCAACTGCCCAGATGCCCACTTAATAGAGAGCTACAATGAGCTACCCATCATGTTGAAAGCTTCACAAAATTACATGATAACCTCCAGATGGTAAGCCAAGGATTACGTGAAGGATTTGCCTGTTGACGCAGAACTCATCGCAAAGGGGAAGAGGGAATCGGACCTGTGTCTCGGCTGAGCAGTATAGGGGTTAGGGTTTGGGGCTTCCGGTTTCCGTGTTTAGGGTATCCCCTCAAGAGGTTCAGGGGTTATAAGTGAAACACCGAGCAGCAATTTCTGAGGCATCGTGGGGCAGAGTTCTGTTTTTCATTATAAAGAATACCAGCAAGAACATACACGTATAACTTTGTGCCCCACTAGGGAATCAGGTCTAGTGCTGGGTGGTCTTGAGTGTAAACCTCGTACCCTAAGCCCTCAACCCAAGACCCTAGGGAATTGGATTCTAGGGGATCAGGGTTTCGAGGCTTGTATGGTTCAGGGTTTTAGGGTTCGGGTTTAGGGTTTAGGGATTTAGGGTTGAGGGTTTGGGGCTTGCAGATTTAGGGTTCGGTTTCTAGGGAGTAAGGTCCATAAGCCCAAACCCCTAGACCTCCATAGGCTAGAAGTGTAACTTAGAGAAGCTTGGGTTCAGAGATTGGCAGGTCGGAAGTGGCCTTCACCCTAAACCCTTGTGAGTTGAAGGTACAAGGACCAGATCGCCGACTACATCTATCCGGTGACCTTGGCTGATTTTGAGCAAGATTCAGGGTTTGGGGCTTAGGGTTTAGGGGTTTAGGGTTTACCCCCCAATGTATGTAGAATAATGGCCTCCTGGGCTATATTCAGGGGTCTTGGGCCACGATTTTACTTTCTGTTGGGGTCCAGGTAGGGGCTTAGGGTTTAGGGCTTGTGGTTTTGGGTTTAGGGCATTCATCTGTGGTTCGAGGTTCAGGGTAGGATTTTTGGGCCCGTGGTTTAGCGTGCAGAGTTTGAGGTGTACGGGGTAGGCTTCCAGATTCAGATTGCTGTAGTTTTCCCACTAGTTGATGGAGGGCTCCAATCCATGCCCTCTTGCCTCGACCCTATTCCGCCCATCCACGTCCCTACCAACACCGTGTACCTTAAGCTTTGGAGCATTTTTCCAAGTAGGATAGCACTCAAGCTATAGCCAAGCTATTACTTACTTTACAGACCTTTACTATGATCTTTGCGCTTTACGCTTGTTGTGGTTAGGCTGTGTTGCAGTATAAGTACTACAAGTTTGATTTCTGGCAGTGTATTTTGAGGATAACCTAGCCTATATTCCCCTACGGTATACTCACTTTCATGAATATTTAAGGACAATCGAATTAGCCTTTGTTCCGCTGCAGTAGAGTTACTTTCATGAAAAACACCAGTGTTCCGTGATATACCACCTAGGTTGAAGCAGGATACCCAGATACCCTGACCCGTAAGCTGGGAAACCACGACGCCGGCAGCCAAAACCCTGCCTGTAGAATATGTAGGGGCCAAAATACTGGGGGCTTAGAGTTAATTATGGGTTTAGGGTTTAGGGACATTAGCCTAGTAGAGAATGCAGAAGAAACGGACCCTGAAATCCGAACTAGGATGATATTATGGGTCTATAGGAAGTTGCGAGTTAGAAGCCAAAGAATGATTAATATCTTGCTTCGTAGTTTTCTTGTATAATTTTCATACGACTGCCTCAAGTAGACCACAATATGAACATGGTAATTATGTAATACCGCATACAGGTCGTTAACCACCAAGCCACCAGCCCAAGCCAAGTTTCAACCCTACATCCCCAGCGTACTGGCGCTTAAGAGCTAAACCCCCCTGAATCTGCTAATTAAGCCCCATTGAAACAAACCCCAAACTCTAAACCTTAAAAACCCCTAAGCCCTACAAAAGTCGCTCAAAACTCTGGACAGGAACTCTTATACAATTTCTATAAACATTAAATCCCTAAACCAGGTCATGGTCAGTGCCCAGGAGTTCCAGGAGACTGCCTGTCCAGCATTGTCTCTCTGAGGCACTTCAGTTGCTGATCGGAGTCTACGTGTGGGTAGGGTTTAGGGTTTAGGGTTTAGGGGGTAGGGTTTGGGGTTTGGGGTTTAGGGTTTAGGGTTTAGGGTGGGTACGTGATGATGCGGCCCTGCCCAGGATTTAGGTTAAGGGCTTAGGCAACTTCACCCCATGATCCAAGCACCTCATCAAGTTTGGCTCATTCTGTACCTTGTAATGTTGAATCTGCAGTAATTGAGCTGAACCACTCCCTTCTGGTCCCTCTCATATAAACTCCTTAAGAACTCCATAGAAGCCGTAGGATATCCCTTCCCGTATTGATTTGAACCTGAGCCATAGTCTAAACTCCTAGTATCCCCCTGAATAAGCCCCATAATACTCCCTTTTATAAGCCCCTATATCTCCCCCTTTAAAGAGTTTAGGCCATACCTCGTATGGGCCATAGGACCCCCCAGACCCCTCCAGGCCACCCTTTTCTTGCTTGGGTGAGGGATTCACACTAATCAGGATCCAACATTACTCTAAGCCACAAGGAATGAGACATGCTTAAGATTTGGAGTTAGGCCTGAAGGAACCCAGAAATTAGGAGTTAGACATGTACCCCCTCCCAAAAAAAGTACACATCAAAAATTTAGAGCCCTATTAGAACCCTATTAGGCCTTATTAAGCTCCATATAGTCATTAGTAGCTCCTTAAACTGGGGGGGTACATTTGGGGGGTTGTATTGTAACTATTAAAGAAAAGAGAAAACGTTTTAGGGCTTAGGAGCCCTGAAACAATGCCCATGCCTGGGTTGCTGTTAAGGAACTTAAGTCAAGGTACTACATTAGGGAAGCCCTATTACTTCCCATATACCCATATTATGGTAACTTAATTTAAGTTCCTTAACAGCAACCCACACACTGCACATGCAAAAGCGCTACCAAGCCGAGGTTTCGCGAGGGCAGACGGGTGCTGACGCGCCTCTTGCACTTCGATGCTTGCCTGAGGTCTAAGGTTAAACCCTAAACCCTAAACGAAGTATGGGCCCTTAATCTGGGCCTCTAGGGCTTTTAGGGGGGTTTCTATGGACCCTAAAGGGTACATGTAGGGATGAGAGAGAGTTTCTGGATTCCGGAAATGTTCACCATAAAAAAGAAATTAGAATAGATACCAGAAAGGGGTGTCTAACAAGATTACCGGCCTTTTCAAGAAGAGGGTGTAGGTTTCTCCGGGATTCTTGTGCAGGGGGCTCAGCCTTGGCGAGCGTAGAGGTTTAGGGTTTAGGGTTTAAGGTTTAGGGTAAGATTTGTTGGTGAGAGTTAGGTAGGTGTTTTTTGGAGACCCTTAACCCTAAGCCCCAAACCCCAAAGCCTAAACCTTGTAAAACAACTATAAGCCCCTGAGGTCGCTAGTTTTGAGAAACTCCCATCTGTCATGGATGCTTGGGGTTTAAGGTTCAGGGCTTTGGGTCGAGGGTTTAGGGCTTAGGGTTTAGGGTGTAGGGCTTAGGGCCAAGGGGTTTAGGGTAAAGGGCTTAGGGTTTAGGGTGGCTTCCTGTAGACGGGATGTGGATGAGCGTCTCCGGGTTTCGGGCTCAGGCTTTTCACCGTGCAAGCTCTCCGGGTTATCACTGGAGATCAGTTGAGTATAGCGGATGAGAAGCCTCTTTCTACGCCCCAGCAGCTGTTTACAATTGTTATATACAGTCATAAACCCTAAGCCCTAAACACCTAAACCCTAAACCCCTAGTGGGATCTACAGGGAATGTCCCATGGATCGTCAGTTTGGAGGATAAGCGCTGAATCTTTTGGAGCTTCTGGACCCCAACGCTGAGAGGGACCCTAAACCCGAAACCCGACCAGTCTATAAGCCTGGTAGGATTGTCCAGATGGTTGTCAGTAATTAACAGGCATCTTAATCTTCCTTATCTGTTATCTGTGGCTATCTGGGTACCAATCCGGATGAGTTTAGAATTTTGGGTTGAGTACGTCTAGGGCATGGTTTAGGGTTTATAGAGATCACTAAACGAGCTTTCAGTTTGCCGAGGCCGCTGACGGACGTGAGAACGGCCCGTCCTTCCAGAAGATGTTTCCAGAGCCTCGGCTCAACCTCCACTGAATAATTCCTGGGTTGCTGTTAAGGAACTTAAGTTAAGTTACTATATTGGGGAAACCCTCTATCATTTACGAAATATACCCATTATGGTAACTTAATTTAAGTTCCTTAACATCAACCCAGATTCTAGGCACCCCAATTAGTACGCTTGTTCCCTGTTTACTTTGGAGTCTCTTTATTACATTAAAGCTCGATATTAGGAAAAGGATGGAGCTATCACTAAGGTGTTACTGGAGAACTTAGAATTATGACTTTCCCCCACCCCCCCCTCCCACACACCTTCTTGAAGGCTTTGAAGACCAAGTCTCCCAAGTTGCTACAGAACTGTAATCCCAAGGGCCCATTTATAGCTGAACCTCCAACAAGGCAAGATTTGGGATGCTGAGCTGGTGGTTTCCATAAATATCGAGTCCTCGATATAGACCCCAAAATAGTACAGTGCTTATTATAGGGACCCCCCCCCACAAAAGGTACCCCTACTTTTGGCGCACTCCCAAATGTTTGCGACTACGGAGAGGCCTTGAAGGTAGACAGCAGGTCCAGAAGAATCCCCGGAATGTACAGCTGGGTTAGGCCCCCAGTAATTTTGGTACTCTAGGATTTTTTCAGGGACCCTCCTATTGTCACCACCATCCCCTGGTGGTACTATTAGTGGGTGGGGGCCCAACAAAAGGTGTAGGGCGTCAGAATTCAGATACAGTAAGAACTCATAACGTTTCAGGTCGAGTTGGGAGTTCGGAGCGTGTTAGCGTTGAGACATCGAACGAAGGGCGTCGAACTTAAGACGTTGAACTTAGGGTTATGGGATGGAAAGCAGGGAAGGGTATGTTGGTCCACAGCTTCCTATTCTGTCATGCTGTCCGCAAAACCTTAGACCCTATTATGGAATCCATGATGAAACAGACTAGTCTAAGGTTCAGGATATTCATTCAAAAGCGAAGCATTCGGGTCAGACTTTACCTCCAGTAAATCCTAAAGCCAGCCCCCAATCCCTGAATCCTAAGCGGACACCTTGGTTTTAGGGTTTTGGCTTAGGTTTGGGGTTTAGGGTTTGGGGTTCAGGGTGCATGGACCTAGTCGTTAGATGTTCGCAGGTCCTTTTCGTTGCACCATCTGGCTCGCGAGCGATCCCACTGCACCAGCATGGGCCATACAACGACAACTTGCTGCTTGGCTTCTCCTGGGTGTAGCTTTTAGGGTTAAAGACAGGTTCCTTTCTCATTGACAATTTGTTGTGCTTTATTTGAGGTACCCTATCTACCACAATCATAGTAGGAATCTAGGACCATGATATTGGTAGGCCCCTACATTATACAGTATTGCGGAGTTCCTTTGTGATGCATAAGGAGGTGTAGGGGAAGTGGTTCTCTAGAATGAAGGCCTTTAAGAGCCACATATCTACCTTGGAGAATAGTACCTGTATTCGCTGCCTCGACAGGAACCCCCAAACTCCTAACCCTGAACCCATAAGCCCAACCCCCAACTCTGCAGCAGTTTCCAGTTTCCTGACCATTCCCAGCCAGTCCGAGAGGCTTTGGATGCTTCATGGCGCAAAGAAAGTTGTGGTAGCTGCGCCCTCTTCCACTGAGTGGCTCTATGAGCGACCCGAGTTTGGAGGCACCAAGATTCCGCAGAGGGTCCAAATATCTAGGAATCAGGGACTTGGGATTTGGGCACGAGCAGTTCTAGAGGTGTTGGGTAAATATGTGACTACTAGTTTCGCAGACCCCAGGGGCATAAGAATTTTGAATTCAAGTCGTTAGATTCTGCAGCCTCTCGGTTTATGCCTGAGGCCTTTAGCCTTCATTTTAGCCGGCAGAGTGTTGGAGGTTTCGTTGCTTTTTCTGGCTTCTAGCCTTCCGAGCGACATGCTACATGGCCCCATCCTCAAGGAAGCCACATGGCCTGTTGATGCATTCCCCCCTAAGTAGATGAAATGTGAGGTGTATGGGGATCCTATTATAGTATACCCGAAGCTATATCTGATCTACCTAAGGGGGACTGTACATGCCCTCATCATAGGTCTAATCCCCAATTTCTAAGCCGACAGCCCAAGCTACTTTCCCAATTCCCAAACCCCAAGCCCTAAACCCCAACACCCACAATACCTCTGAAGGAAGCGAGTATGCGGATCGAGTCTTTTCTGCTGACTTGGTGCAGCCAGACCGAGGCGCCTTTTTTTGGGCTTAGGTTGAAAGTTTGGGGCTTCGGATTTGCAGTGCTGGGTTTGGTGTCGGGCTTAGGGCTTTAGGATGTATGCCGCTGATTAGGGGTGCAGGTTTTGAAGGATTTAAAGTTTTTATCCTACGAAGACATACCCTAAACCCTAAACCCTAAATTCTAAACCCTAAACCCTAAACCCTAGGTCATGAAAAAGAGCTTAGGGCATGGTAGGTTTCTGTGGCCAAGTTACGGTTTAGGCTTAGGTGGACCCCCCACCCAGTAACAGTGAGTATAGGGGATAATAGGGAATATACTAGGGTTTAGGGTTTAGGGTTTAGGGTTAGGGATAATAGGGATTACATTAGGGTCCTCTTTTATTCCTACTATACCACTATTACAGGGTGGGGGGTCCTCCTAAGGGTTTAGGGCTTGGGGGTTTGTGGGGGTTTGGGGTTTGGCTAGACTTGCTGTCACCTTGTCTATTGCGTCCCGCCTTCCTTTTTGGGGCTGTAATTCCTCATATACACCCGAATATACTATGTAGTAGTTGGAGCGCGGCGGGTTCCCGCCCGTATGGTAAAATCGTGGAAAAAAGAGCACTGAGTTGTTTCAACATTGACATGTC